AAGGATAGGGAAGGGTAGGTGTTGTGGGGGGAGAGGAGGTGGGGTGAGGAGCATTTGAGGATTCATCTCTTGCTGGATAATTCCCAGGAGGATCTCTCTCCAACACTTGAAAGCTGTGAAGTGTGCGGTTCTGCTCATACTCCTCCTGGTAATTGGAAGAGGAGAGGAGGGGAGGGAGGGGAGAGAGGGAGAAGAGAGGAGGGTCAGGTAAAGGAGGGAGAGATGGAGGTAAAAAAAAAATTAAAAAGAGAGGAGAGGGTGGCTGAAGCAGGTAAAAAAAAAATAAATGTGGAGATGGGGAGTGAGAAGACAAGAAGGGGCAGGAGGACAGGTAGAGATACTGAGCAGGGAAGAGGAAATTAAAAGCTACCTGACGATTGCCACTCTTTCTTTCCCTGCCTCAATTTCTCTTTCTTCTTCGCGGCATATCGCTTTTATTTTTTGCTCATTAGCTCACTCCTCTTTATTCTCTCCATATCGCTGTTCTTCCTCCCTCCCTTTGCCGGCAATGGCGTGTCTATGGTTGCAGGCGGCTTCTGAAACATGGCCGCGGGCGTTTAATCATTGATGGAGTTTTTTCCTCCACGCAGGCAGGCCAGCGGGCAGCCCCGACTCACTCACATGCGTCAGGACCTGCTGATTCACTCTCTGGGGTCTTCAAACGCACACACACACACACGTGCACATGCAGAAACACAAAGGCAAACAAAGATATGCACGTGCACACGTAACTGTAGCACACAAACACAGATGAAATGCAGCCTGAATGTGTTTCATGTGTGTGCGAGGCTGCCTACATGTGTGCCTGTCTAGTTTATCCCACCGGGGACTGCGAGGCCCAATCAGCAGCGGTGAGCCCAAATAAAGGCAGCGAAGATAAAAGCAATTTATTTGACCAGAACAAGAAGACAAAAACGTGTTTGCATTGGCTCCGGGCCTGCTCGCCACATATGTCTCTACAGCTTTATACGTCCTCCTGCTGCACTCAGTAAACATCTGGCTGTGTTGGTTTCCTAAAAAGTAAATACATTTATATACTGTATCCTCAACCAGTATCATTCTGCCTCCACACAGTTTACAGATAGGGTCCAGTGTGTTGCTCTTTAGCCATGCTGGTAGTGGAGCAGAGAATCAAGAATTCTGAATGCTAAACTATTAGTTTAACCTGTGTGGGAAAATATGTTTTTTAAACCCTTAGTTTGGCCAAAGTCACCATAGTTTTGACTTTGGATTTGACTGAGAGTTTCTATACTTTCAGGTATGACTCTCTCTCCATCCACTCAGATTTGGGTTTGGTCTTGTTAGTCCAAAGTAACTGCCCCAAGGTGCTGCCGAGTGGCACGTCTTGCCTATATTGGTTTTGGCATTGGTTGATTGGGTTCTGTTATAGTTCAGACTGAAATATCTCAGTAACTGTCAGGTACGATGCTATGAAATTTTTCACATCCATCCATCCATCCATCCATCCATCCATCCATCATCTCTACACCTTAATCCTCACTAGGGTCATGGGGGGCTGGAGTCTATCCCAGCTGATTCAGGGTGAAGGCAGGTTCACCTGGACAGGTCACCAGTCTATCACAGGGCTACACTTAGAGACAGACAACCAAGCACACTCACATTCACACCTA